TTAAAAGCTTCCAAGATACCACTGCTAAACAACAGTTCCCTAGTGCAGTTAAATCACTCTGTGAAAGCTCACAGTCAGGAAAAAAGATCCACTTTCATGCAGAATTCCTTTTGTTTGTTTGTTTTGTTTCATTTCAACAGTGAATAAACTTTCCCACATATGCAATAGTGTCTATGGATCAACTGTACTAAGAAGGGCCAGCTTTAGCCTGGTGGAAGTGCACAAGCCTAGCAGCAGTTTGAGAGGCACAGCTGTCCTGGTCAGGAAGAATGCTTCCCCAGAGCCCTCAGGGAGCCCTACTTCCTTAGCACAAACTGATTGAATGCGCATCTCACCTACTTTTATGGAGAGTGGAGATGAAATCCCATTTCCCTCCATTGAGTAGCTCACCTAGTCAGAAGCGTGCTTGGATTAGCAAGATGCTTTAATTCAAGTATAATGGCAATTTTACAACAATCTGTTCAGACAACTTTGTGCTCAAGAGAGCATAAGGATTGTTGCTGAACTCTACCCTCTTTTTAACATGATAAAAAAGTAACACCCCTTTTTGTTCTTTATTACTCTGTTCATCTACATCAGGGAAAATAAAACCAAGTTATGTTTTCATTATAGTTGCACATAAACAAGCATGTGTGTGTACAAGGAAAAATAATGGGAATGCAGTAACAATCCCATGTAGTTAAGACTTCACCTGACTTCCTATACTGCCACCACTTACCCTCTATCAAGCTCAGTTTTTCTAAAGGTTTCCTTTCAGGCTGAATTCTTCCTAATTACTCACAGTACTGGGATTCGTTTTGAGTCCCTCCATTCTGTAGTAATAAGATTTCATACATAAATAATTAAAGTGTGAGTGCTGACTGTCTTCCTAGGTAGCAGACTAGTTTTTTACTTTCTAAAATCCTACATAACAACATTTGAATTTTCAGAATTTATATTGAAAATGAGTCTTCTGTAACTGCAATAGGGTGCCCGTATTGCAACGTGCTTGCTTGGATGAACCAAATATGTTGAATTTGCATAGATCTAAAAACATACATCACGCGCATGCTAATTATAAAAGTTGTATTATAACCTTTAAGCCTTTACACTGAAGGAAAGGTTTCTACCTTCAGTGGCAGCAGTTAATTGAAATATACACAACTAATAACATCTCTGGAGATCCAGCCATAATAAGCAGACAGTTTCCAAAGGAACTGATCCAATAGCTTCATTACTTGCAGCTGTTTGGTATACTGAAAGCTCAGTGTTTATTCCTCTTATGGAAATGCTTTCCCCCGACAAAGTAGGAATTTGTCTACAGTTCCCTACAGACTACTCCAAAAGCTGTATTTCTTAGGCTGTGGTTTCCCATTCAGCAGCAACTGAATGGCCTAAACTGGCCACGCTGTTCTCTGCTGCTGCTTGTTGCTGCTGCCAATGGTGTTTTTTCAGCCTGATCAGCTCTGTGATTTAGCTCGGCATGTATCTGCAAAAATTGAAGTGAGACTTAGTAGCTACAGGAGAAAAGGGCTGCTTCAATCACTGAAAACATTCTTACAGAATCAGAGCCTTACAAGCCTCGGTTTAGCAAATTTGTGAGATTAAATTTGGACTCCTCTTGTAAAACTCAGCTTACCTTCATCTAAAAAACCTGTAATGACTAAGCAAAAGAAATGATTTATAAAGCAAAACTCACTTAACTCTCTTTGTGGTGGTGTAGTATGATAGTCCAAAGGGTGTTGGTGATGCAGATTGACAAGGGAAGAGAATCATCTTTTTTCCCCCTCAACTATATCTGTGGCTATAATAGAAAGATAAACTTTCAGGTACGCAGCCCTTCTTGGAGTTGCGAAACTGAAGCAACAAACGGCAGCAAAGTACAAGCTGGGACTAATTATTTTGAATTCTGTTATGTTCATTAATTAACCAATTTGAGAGAAAAGGCAGATTAAACAAGTGAAGAGCACAAGACTATCTATTGGAGAAACTAGGAGGGCTTTAAAACCCTGCAGGATGGACAAAGAAATCACTATGAAACAGCCAGGGGTCAACTAGAAGAATGATGCCAAAATTCTAACTGCATTATGTTTTAGTTTTATGCTGTATTCAGTTCATTATTTTTAATATCTATTAAAAGGTTTGAATTTTAGCTCCCAGGCTCATCTTTCAAACATGTTTCATGATAATGTTGCTTCTGATATTTAAGGACCATGCAACTGTAACATCTGATTTGATACTGGCACTACACCCTCACTAGTATTTTAAATATGCTAAGGGAAACAACTGCAAAGGGAAGGGAGGAAGCTTTATCCTTCACTCCACTAATAAAACTGAGAAGAAGAGTTCTGGACAGAGTGGATTATTACACATTCCCATCCACAAGTAACTTGCATTACTTTTGCTGGGAAAAACTTTGGTAAGTTTACTGTATTTTAAATACAGGTTGTACTTTCATTTCCTTTTACATCATCAAGATTGCCTCCTGAGGAACCCAGAGGACAACAGATTTATCAAATAGAAACAAGTTTTAGGGTATTAAAAAGTATGTTCTGCTTTAATAAGTTTGTCTTACTAATTTAAATTGAATCAATATGAAGTTCCAAGCAGGTCTATAAACAACAGAAGTTCTGGGCATTGATATTTCTCTTATAACAAACTTGAAGAAACTTCATAGGTTATCCTCAAGAAAGGCTAAGTCATTCTCAGTCTTAAAACAGAGAATGACACAGCCAGCCTTAATACTTTTCTACTATGGTTCTTACTAGCCTGCTATCTCAGACAAAGGTCACTGAAAAGTGACAAGCTATAGTTTAAAGGATGTTTATTCTGAACGGTATTGTTAAAAGACTTCCAGAACAACTGACAGAACTTCATTATTTAGCAAAGATTAATAGAATGCCACTATTCAACACTAAGTCACATCTTACTATATTAATATAAACAGCATACATGCCACATGTTAAGAGTTTCTTTTTGGTTCCATCAAGGAAGATCATACAAGCACTCATCTCCTCTAGGATAACTGGCCTTTCTATGGTCCCAAGAGGGCATCCAGTATATGTTATCTGGGAAAGAAAATAGAGTAGAAAGTCACACAAATAGAAGAAAAGCTTCCCTAGCATGAACGTGTTGCCTTAGGGTCCTTTTGGGAATTCTGATCTGATATGGCTATCTAAAGCTCCTTGCTATCTTTCAGAGCCATTAAAGTTGGACGTGCCCAACTGCTCTGGTTCCTCAAGCTGCAATTTTAGGAATCAGTAAAAAAGCTTCACTTTATCAGATAAAGCAGGTTAACCACCCTGTCCTGCATGGTGCACACTACTATTCATGATAAAAATTCTGAACTTACTTTTGCTTCTCCTCTGTAGAAGTGTCTTTTGCTTTCCATCACCAGCCAACAACTTAAAAGTTGATTATACACCAACCATCAAGAGGAGACATTCCAAGATACAAAGGATTGTGACAAGGAAAAAGAAGCCATTTAAATTATATCTAACAAATACACTGCATTTCACTAAATATCCTAGGAAAATTATACCACATGCCATCAGCTTGCTAGCTCAAAGAGGAGGAAGTGAAGTCTTTCCAAGAAGATTAAGTGGAAAGACACAAATCTCAGCTGAATTCAGCTAAAAACCTGAGAAACTGGTACACAGAATTCAATCCTCATTTCAGGCAGCAAACACCCAGGTAATTCAAATACATACAATTTAAAAACTATTAAGTATTCCTGTTCTGCTTCTTCTACAGCCTTAAAAGAGAGGACTTCAGTTTGTTGCTAGAATATCATGACAGGATCAGAATGAAAAAGTCACAAGAGGCTGTAAGAAACAGACCTGCAGGTTACTCTCCTTTAGTCAAAAGGATTAATTCTTAATTATACTATTTATAAGCAAAACATATGAAGGTTACATTTTCAAGGACCACATTATATCAGTATGAGACAACTTTCTTTATAAAGATACCACTATATGCTACCCCATTCACCAAAATTTTTGGAGAAAACAGCTCTTTTGAATTAAATACCTAACATTGAGAATTTAGTGAACTAAAATATGAAACGAAGTTTATTTACATTAAATTCATAACATAAGGGATTCATTTAGCAATGCTACTTAAAAAATGCTTAAAGAATGGAAAATTGATTGCTGACAAGCTAACACTTTTTGATCATGGAATTAATCTTCTTTTAAATTGTCTGATACAGCTCATACATGTAATTTGAGCATTTAATTTTCTTAATATGAAGCTAAATTTGCCCAAATTTAAACGTATATATACATATAACATCACAGTTATCCTTGTGGTTGTCACAAAAACCGCCTCTCTGA